GTGTGTGTGTGTGTGTGTGTGTGTGTGTGTGTGTGTGTGTGTGTGTGTGTGTGATGTCTGAGCCTTTCTGTTTAAAATAATTTACTCTACCTTTTACATAAAGATTGTTTGTGAAGTACTGAAAACAGGTTGTAAACAAGGTGTGTAGGTTGAACAAATAAACATGCACATGTATTACAGTCTGTTGTACACCTTCTCTAGCCTGAAGAATGCAGACTGTTAGATATTTTTTGCAGATTAAAAGTGGGCGGCAGGTAAATTACTAGAGTTTGCACACAAAAAAATATATTATGTTTAATTTAAAATGTTCTTTGTTTACTGATTGAGGTTTCATCTAGGAAATGTGTAAAAAGAAAAGTGTTTCACAAGTTCCTCAAAAGCAATACAAAAAAAAGTCTGAAAAAAGTCCAATACAGGAACCATCAACAATTTGGGACATGTTATTAATCACTGACAGTGAATAACTTATCAAAATGATTAAACTCTGCCAACTAATTCAAAGGTTTCAAAGGCTTCATTTGTGAAATGCACAATAGCTGCGTTACAATTTTGGCAATGAAAATCTCCAGTGTCCTCCAGCAATGCAACAACCAATACACTGAAAATAAAAAGGAAAAAGACATCAAAAAGTGCAAAAGACATGAAGTAGGCAGGAATAGGAAGAACATATACATATAGGATAGATCAAGAATCAAATGCTGTTCACTTCAATGAGTTGTCAGTTTATTTTACTTGACATCCTATACTACTCTTTGGGTTTGAAGCAGTGTTTCTGGTCATCTTGAGCACAGGGCTGTGGATCTGACACAGAGCTTCAGATTGTAAATGCAGTAATACAGCAGTGGGTCAGCGCACTGAGGGGAACAGAGTGATGTGTTTGGCATGCTGCTGTCGATGTGCAGGACATGACTGGAATGTGTGTGAGCAGCAGGTTTTGCGTGGGCCTGGTGTAGAATTACAGAATAGGATTGGACCAATATGTGCCGTTAAAGGCCAACACAGATCATTTTGAATTTGAAGATGCCATGATGTCACATTTTAGTTGTATGTACTTCTGAGAGGAGCAAGCAGCGTCTGCAATGGAAGGTTATTCTGGTTGGACCGTGGCAAAACATTAAAACTCAAGATGTCGCAAAGCACATTTTTCATATACTGTACTAGCATGAAATCTGGTTTCAGTTGTAATAGAAAACCAGAATGAAATAAGAAAGCCAAAACACATTTTCATCTTGATTTTATCTCACATACATTTGATTTTCTGCTACAAGAAGAAACTGAATAAGAAAGTCTTTATTTGAAAAAGAGACGATTAAAACCTGCCTCTTTAAAACTGCACTTATCAATATTTTATGTTATTTTAAATAGTGTTGGTTCCAAATTACCACTTTCATCCACCCCGTTTCTGGAAGTACTTATTTTTAAAACCTCACAATGTAATCTTATCAGCGAAAGTCTTTTGTATCCTAGTATGGATGTCTACAGAACCTATACTTCAGTACCAATAAAACAAATTCGGAAATGGAGTAGTAATCAATTCTCAACAGTGCAACAGGTAATGAGGAGACAATAGACTAATTGCTTGTATTCCATCATTTCTGATATTGTGACATCCCTAAATCCTGATAGCTGCTAATCTATGTTCTGAGTTGTTTGAAGAAATATTTGCCATTTGATGAGTATGATTATGGGATGAGTTTCGAAGAGGATCTGTACCGAGTAAATGTGTGTTGCTAAGTATGTAGAATACGATTTGTATGACAGAATATCTCTGCAGCTCCAAAATACTTGACAATTGAATTGTGTGCTTCCTGTACCTGAGGAATGCAGTAGTCCATATTGCCATTTTGATAAATGTTTTTGATTAATCGTGCAGCCCTATCATTTCACAAATTGTCCTTTATTTTCTTGTCAGATTTCTGATTCTTAAAGGGAGCAACAGAAGAGTAACTTCTGCTGGATAGCACTCAGTTTAGCCTCTCTGTGTTTGCAGGGATGGTCTTCAAACGCAGCGATACAGAGATGAATCTGCGGGGGCTGTTAAGTTTGAGTGTATGTGTGTGTGTATCTGTGTGTCAGTAGGCAGAATGGGCTGCCATAGGCCTGACAGGATGACAGCTGTCACCAAGGAAATAGAGAGAGGAGGAGGAGAGAGGAGAGACACTGCCTCAAGGGAACACACATACTCTAAGCCAGGGCCTAGAAGCTGTGTCTGTATTTGGTCGTGTGTGTGTGTGTGTGTGTGTGTGTGTGTGTGTGTGTGTGTGTGTGTGTGTGTGTGTGTGTGTGTGTGTGTGTGTGTGTGTGTGTGTGTGTGTGTGTGTCTGGGATGCTTATTCCTCTCTGTCAGGGCAGCGTAGGGTTATGTGTGTTTAACCCCTTCTAGCTAGCTCTGCTCAGCTTAATTGTCTCAGTAAGATGGAGAGAAGAGGGGGGCAGGGGACTAAAGAGGGGAGAAAGAGAGGGGTGTATGCAAAAGCAGGGAAACCCCATAAACCCCCTTAGTGTGTAATTCAATAACCATACCATAAACAGAGAAAAGCAGCAGGTTATTCAATTGAAACATGTGTTTGAACAATCATTTATTATCAAAATGATTTATTTGCTGCCAAATCACTGCACAGAGTCCACCCTAAAGGAAAAGCGACAGGTTGTTTGTTGTACTGCTCTGAATTCAGAGTCAATATGTGTATTTGAACACGTTCCTTCATCATCAAACCACCAGAGAGATGCAGTGCGGACATGATTTTATCTGGAGAAAGTCCTGGATCTGCTCTGTAGACAGTGAGTAATGGAGCGGCTCCCAGGACGCGGTGACAGCGGAACACATTTTCTCACTCACAGCTGGAAGTCATACATTCAAATAAAACTCATTTGGATGGGTTACCTGAGGCAAAAGAATCTCTGAGCTCAGGTATTCAGTCATTAATTTAATATCAGCAGAATGGCCCCCGAAAAGTGTCACATCACATATCCCATTAATTCAAATCTTGATGCGGGGATCAGCAGCTCAGGGAGAGAGTTGACTGGGATTGTGGAGACTGGAATAATCATTGGATTGTTTTAATGGTGCGTTCAGGTTCTACGTGGAGTAAATGTAATTTGCTTTGCTGTTACCATGCAGGGTGTAACCACAATCAACTTGCAGCTTTATTTTATATGCAAGTCTTTTCTTTCATCCAGCCTATACCTGTCACCTTGGCTGTAAATATGAATACAGTACATCTGATTGGTTGACTATAATCTAGTTTTGATCGGATTCCCTCAAATATATGTTCGTAATAAAGCGAAATCAGTCCAAATCTACTCTGTAACCGCAAGGTGAGGTGGAAGGAATCAGGACCGATCAGAATCAGGATCACGTATCATTCTCCAGTATCGTGGGTGTGAGGCTCCGCAGAGAGGC